TTTTGGTTTTCTATTTTTTACAGTTATTAATATATTATAATAACCAAAATGTCAATAATAGTAATAATGACAATAGTAATGATATTAATAACATTAGAAAAAAATTAGAGAATTTAAGGGATGGAAATATTAAGTAAGGTCGTGTAGGCCTACTAATCGACTCCTTGGTAACTATGCACTGTGGACAGTCACCAAGATTCGGACTGGTTCTGGAAAAATACAAAAAAACAGGTAGAGACTTCAATGGTGATCCATGTGGCTTTCAAAATAAGACTTTTCCTCATAATCATACTGGCTACTTTCCATCCAAAATATCTCCTGTAATCTGGGAGAGATTAAAAATTAATATCCACTCTAATAATAGCACAAGAGCCGCCAAATTTCCTCTATGTTTGTGGCAAAACAGAGAATGGATTCTTTCCTTTATCTGAGATAAATCAAAATCTGTAAAAAAAAAAAAAAAAAAAAAAAAAAAAAAAAATGGTGCTGGTTTCGGCATTTAGGAAGGAGCTCTCGGATACTTCCCATTGGTAAATCAATGTGCTTGCGTTGATAAACAGCACAGATTGTATTACTTAAAACTGAATATCAAGAAAAAATAAGAAAAAGACACAAATAACAAAACGTTACTTTTTGTTAAGCGGGATTTGATACCGAGAGTGAGGCACTCTCCAGAGACAAAGTAACAAAATCAGGGTGTTATGCGAACCCAAAAACTTAAACCTACCTTTTCTGCATTTATCTATTCCCTATATAGGGAGGCAAGCTCCCAGTTTACCCCTTTATTAGCCATTCGTCCCAACTTATAGAAAATGGACATTAGGAACTCTGTGAGGGTGTTGTGGACATAGTCTCTGAGTGGTTATATGCAGCAAATATATTCCTCATTTTGTGGTGAATATGAGGCCACTGCAGCTGTACCTATTTGGGTTTTTTAGTATATTGTGTTCTATAAGATGGCAGCATCCATTTTCCCCCCATCTCTGTGCCACTCTTGGTGACTTATAAAACCAAGAGATGATTTAGAGTCTGTGCAAGGGAAACAGTCTATTGCCATCTGGATTCAGCATATTAAATGACAAATAAATATGAAATACGACAAAAAAGGAAAATATGCTAAAGCATTAAGAGCTAACAACACTGCAATGGGGAGGCTAGGAGTCTTGACAATGCATATGAATGTTTGTAAGTATCCAGCCTACAAGCCACACACCTGAGAATCACCCCACAAGTAAGCCTAGTGCCTGGAGTTTGGGTAATGTATGGGCAACAATGCATCCATATCCAGAAGGTTAATCTATCAATCCTATCCAGAATTAAAATAAATCCAGTATATCTAATACCCTGCTGATGGGGATGGCTACAGCTCTCATGGAAAGCCTACCCTTCATGATGGGCATGTGTATATGCTTCATGACTCGCTTTAACAAGCGAGCGGGAGGGGCCAGCTGTACACAGCAAATGCTCTATTAGTAAGGCTTGACAGTTGCCAGTAGTCACCAGAATGAGTGCCTCACAAAATTCGGCGTTAATCTATCAGCCCCTTACATTTTATGTCATTTTTTCATCCATTGAGATTCATAGAAAAAATATGAAAAATGCACTTTTCTTTCATTATTGGAGCATTCTCTTAGAGTCATTTGATGTAGATATAAACTAAACATGACAAACTGTAAAGGGGCACACAATTCCTAAGCTCAGCAAGATGTCACAGGTTGAAGTTGTTTTTCTTCTTGAACTATGTAATTCTGCCCGCTGAGAAGAGTGGGAAGAAACAACTCGCCACTCATCCTATAAAAGATGTCATTTAAAGATGAACTGCATGATTTTCTCCCATCGATCTCCGCAAGTCAAAACCACTCATTCAAAAGCCATTGTCTTGGCACTGATGTTAACCCCCGTGTCCACTTTCACGGGGTTTATTATGCCTGTCCTGTCATTTTGTTGACATCAGTAATTTTACCCCTAGGCTATTTTTTCCAGATTAAATTTATGAAATAAGTTACCAAGAGCGATGTACGAAGATAGAAGGAAACAGACACTGTCAGATCGTAAGAAATTAGAGTCAGAAACAACATACTTTAAGCTGCAGCGACCTCATCTTCATCGCTAAATGATAAAAATACCCCTTGCATACCACCGATCAGTCTATGTCACTCGCCTTGTTTACCTTGCGAGAAAATACATAACATTGATCCCATAACTTGGTGCTTCCAGAAATAATGGTATTTGGTTTACTTATTATGGTATTTACGCTATCTTATCTTGCTGTACATACTGAGGTGAAGATAATGTGCCTAGTCACAGCAACTAAGATTGTTAGGGTATGTTGGTCATGATATTATTAGTTTTTCAAATCTTGGCGTGTTGATCCATACAATTTCAAAGATGGAAGGCATACCAAGAGAGTTTCCTTAGCCAATTTTAAATTTTCATGCTGGTTTTACACAATTTTGTACCCTAAAATTTTAATTTAAACTATTTTACCCTTTAATTTCCTTGAAATACTTCATGCTGTAATTGTCACTGATAGCGACGCCCCCTCCGACAGACAGTAAAAAAAAATTATGTTTTTTTGTAGGATATGCAATAACTTAATTGATTCTTGGTGTTGTTTCTTCTGTGAATGAATTGTTGAAGAGATCGATTACCATTTCACCATCGACAATCTTGATTTGTTAGTCCCAAAAGCAGGGAAGGGCGTGAAGTATTTCACGGAAATTATGCGGTAAAACAGGCTTGAATAAGAATAGCAAAAAAACTGGGTAAAACTAGCACTAAAAACGCTTAAAATCAGCCAATGAAACTCTACAGACATATCTGCCATCTTTGAAATTCTTTGGATTGGTGTAATATTTCAAAAACTCTATGGGAATTAACACGTTCCAGACCCCCCAAAAAACACACTGACCAATAAACCAGCCTAATCTAGTCGCCGTGACTAGGTGTGCCCTTCGGGCACTGCCTGAGGGAAGGGTTGAATAGGGCTCCACCACCTTTCACTCCCCGGGAAACATTCTCTTCACCTCGGTAAGTACAGCAAGATAGAGCTGCGTTCACTGTAAAATAATAAACCAAATACCTTTATATTTGGAAAAGTCAAACTTTTGTTCCCTTAATGGCTGGTGACCTGTCAAACCTGGTGGCTGGTGAATATAAAATGCAAAATGCATACATAATTCCAAATAAGTGTATAGATAAATTTTAACCCATTTACGATGGGTGTCCCACATAAGAGACACCCAGAAAAATAAACAGTGCCGGGCGTCCCACCAGTGTGATGTTGGATCGGAGCTTGTGCCCCAATTCCGTCGCGGGCCATGACCGGCACGCAGGCAGATTCCAGGCCAGTCCCGCTCAATTTTGTAGACGGCCGTAATCTATAATTTTTGGCTTCAAAATATACCGGCGTTTGTGGGTTAAAATATGTAAATGAAGTATAATAACATTATTAAAAGACTATAAAAGCAAGAACATGTAATAGTAGACACTGATAATTAGCCAAATAGTTTTGACAAGTGCATAGTAACACAAACTACTTAAGATATCGCAGTAATGAGTTAACCAGTCAGTGTTTTATTCCTGGTAAACAAGGTGATCGACATAATCTGAGCAGTGCTATGCAAGGTGCAGCTTAGACTATGTTGAATCGTATTCTATTTTTTCTGTTCTATAAGATGGCAGTGTTCATTTCCCTCTATCTACGCACGTTGCTATAAGTAACTAATAACTTTCATGCCTTCCCCTCCTATTAAGACTATGAAATCAAGATTGTCAATGGAGAAAAGGTATTCAGACCTCCTCAACTATTCATTCGCACAAGAAACGCCAAGAATCGTTGAAATCATCTTTTCTGACTCAGTCTCTGGTTGGGTGTCGCTCTCGGTAACAATTACCAATTCCATTTCACAAGATATGCCAAACAGTATAACAAAGGGGCATATCAGTTATCTAAGTACACCTCTTGCCAACCATGTTACGTTCTATTTAAACTCCATTATCATCTATCCAACAAGGAATGTTGCGTATTTACCGTTTCTCAGTTAATCACATTTTTGCGATACATATTAGTGACAGATAATGAGGGCACCCTTTATAAAACGCCAAAGACAGCACATTGACGACTTATATTCATAGTACATCTTCCTACATCACAGTTGCAAAACAGAAATAAAATCTCTACACTATTACACAAGCATAATTCTGTCTCGGAAAAATGCGAGATTCAAAGCAAAATCTACTGATAAACATGAAAAGGCGAGTGAGAGAAATAATAAAAACAAAGAAAGAGAACCAGAGGGGAAGAATTAAAGATAGAAAAAGGGAGAAAGAAAAAAAGGAAGAAAAAAGGTAAGAGACATACAGAGAAGGAGAGAGAGAGAAGAAGCATGCAGAAAGAAAACACCTTTTTTACCCATGGAAGCCACAAACCTCCTGTACTTTACGTATGTGCATTAGCTCTGACAGTCACTGAAGAAGCATACAAGAGAGAGAGAGAGACAGTGTGTTTATTAATTATCCTTGTGTGCTGACGGTCAATTCCTTCATCGCACACCAGTGATCTGACAACTGCCACCGAAATAAGGAAATAAAAGGAGATAAATACGCGATCTCTCTTTAGACGTGTGAACACCTGGCCATCTTCTTACAAACTATCTTTTTCTCTCTCTTGTAAAACACCTCGTCTTGCTGTGCACTGTCAGGTGGCAACACGTCTCCCTTCCTCGTCAGCAGTCTCCCTTCCTTGGGGATATAAAAGACGAAGCACAGAGAGAGAGAGAGAAAGAAAATAACTCGGAAAAACACTAACCTCTTTCCTCTCTTTCTCTCGTTTTCTCCTCTCCTTATCTTCTCTGAGGGCTTGCAGTTTGGCCTTCTTCCTCTCTAACTCCGCCTTTCTGTCGGCCATGATTGGGAAGATCGGGTGTCACGCCGAGAACGCGAAAAACGATGGGAGAAGCGGTCAAAATTCGATAATTCGGCCCGATGACATTTCCAGCATGACTCATCGACCGTCACACCCAACGTCAATATGGCTGGAGGTTCCAACACTCTTGGCCCCTGGTGTTTATCTACGCATATTCGCCCCCAGAACCACCTTTCTTACCCATTTACACCATGAGTAAGTCTTTGATAGTGAAAAAATGTATTTTTATTTTCAGGTATAGGTGTATGGGATTTTTAGGGTGATTCTTATTAAGGATAGGGGTTTTAAAAGATTTATCACTCCCGCGCGAATTTTTGTCGCCGGTAAGTAAATTAGGCGGATAATTTTGATATGATTAGAATAACCTTATGTACGATTGTATTTATTATTGTCAACAGAGAGAGCTTTAAGGACACTACGGCTCCTTCAAGCTGTTCTTCTAAGTTGACTATCATTTACATGCGTGCACTCTGATTATTTGTATGTCAAATGAGATAGTATCTATTTTTCTATGACTTTTCACATTCCCTTTGACAAGTAATTCAGGCTATGAAATGAATTTTGCAAACGTTTCGTCTAGCGTATGTTTAGGATACGATCTTAAAGATTGATCTAAAACTCGGTAACCTCCTCTGATTTTCCCACGTTGCACTAATACACATAAACATTATTGAAAAATTATTGAAAAAGATACATACATATATATATATATATATATATATATATATATATATATATATATATATATATCAATGACATTTTACCCCGCGCCCTCTATGTCTGAGTCATTTGCGTGAATGCCAATGAGAAGGTGAAGGAGAAAAACGGAAAATGACGGAATGAAAATTTATTAGACGGAGATGGAGGGGATGATATTTGGATATTATATATATATATATATATATTATATACATATATATAATGTAATATATGTATATATATATATATATATATATATATATATATATATATATATATATATATATTATAGAGAGAGAGAGAGAGAGAGAGAGAGAGAGAGAGAGAGAGAGAGAGATGCAAATATATATATACATACATACATATATATATATATATATATATATATATATATATATATATATATATATATATACATATATATATTATATATATATATATATAATATATACATACACACACACACACTCTCTCTCTCTCTCCTATCTATCTATCTATCTATCTACGTCTCACTCTATCTACTCTCTCTCTCTCTCTCTCTCTCTCTCTCTCTCTCTCTCTCTCTCTCTCTCTCTCTCTCTCCCTATCTCTCTCTATCTACGTCTCACTCTCTTATTTCTTCTCTCTCTCTCTCTCTCTCTCTCATCTCTCTCTCTCTCACACCACACACACACACACACACACACACACACACACACACACACACACACACACACACACACACACACACACACACACACACACACACACACACGTAGATTATCACGCACACACATGTAACAATATTATCAAATGTGAAATAAATGGCATATACAAGTATTGGTTTGAGTATAAAGATTTTTGTTGTTTGAACGATTCACTGTGCTCGTCCCGTAGTCTTGCTGTTATCACCCATTCTTTCTAGCATTCTTTCTCTATTTCTCTTTATCTCTATCTCTCTCTATCTGCCTTTCTTTCCCTCTATCTCTCTCTACCTCTCTTTCTCTCTCTCTCTCTCTTTCTTTCCCTATATCTCTCTCTGTCTCTCTTTCTCCCTCTGTCTCTTTCTCTCTCTCTCTCTCTCTCTCTCTCTCTCTCTCTCTCTCTCCTTCTCTCTCTCTCTCTCTCTCTCTCTCTCTCTCTCTCTCTCTCTCTCTCTCTCTCTCTCTCTCTCTCTCTACTTGGCATCATTCTGTTCACTCGGCCTTGCAATGCCAAAGGTCGCGCCCACCGTCGTGTCCCTCCTCCGCCTTGCCTCAAGCCCGCTGGAGCGCGAGCTGAGGAGGAGACCAAGGCGCGCTTTCTGAGGTCCGCCTCGGGGATCTGCTGAGGAGCGAGGAGAGAGGAGAGAGAGAGATAGGGAGGGAGGGAGGAGAGGAGGAGGGAAGGAGCGGGGGGGAGAGGGGAGGGGGGAGGGAGTGAGGGAGAAGGGAGGGGAAGGGGAGAGGGAGAGAGGAGGGAGAGGAGGGAGGAGGAGGGAGAGAGAGGGAGGAGGACGGGAGGGAGGGGGAGGGAGGGAGAGAGGAGAGGGAGAGAAAGAAAGAAGAGAAAGAGATAGAGAGAGCGAAGAGAGAGAGGGACAAGAAAAAGAGAGAAAGATGCCTGAGACGGTGGCGAGAAGAAGCGTAGACAGAGGCACCTGTGAGGAGAGAGAGAGAGAGAGAGAGAGAGAGAGAGAGAGAGAGAGAGGAGAGAGAGAGAGATTGAGAGAGATTTGAAGACGAGAAGAGAGAGAGAGAGAGAGAAGAAGAGAGAGAAAGAGAGAAAGAGAAGAGAGAGGAGAGAGAGAGAGAGAAGAGAGAGAAGAGAGAGAGAGAGAGAGAGAGAGAGAGAGAAGAGAGAGCAGAAGAGAGAGAGAGAGAGAGAGAGGAGAGAGAGGAGAGAGAGAGAGAGCGAGCATTCGCGCGTGGCTCCTTGGGGTCTACTCGTT